CAGTCTATAAAAGGCGGCCTTTTTACTTAAGAGTACTGTGAATAAAAAAGATGTATTAATAGCTTTTCAGTTTGGATTATATCTTTACATTGGAGAGGTGTAAGTATCAAAATGAATACGAGTCCTGCTAACGCTGTAGGTCCTGATATGTAATACAGTATGCACAATATAAGTACCGCTTGAAGAGGAGAAGCCCACAGTGCATTGAAAGTTCCATAGAATAATACTAACTGATGAATATCATTCGACAACAAATTGATAATGTGGCCTACAGTGGTTTCATTTAAAGCCTTTTTACTAAGCCGTAAAGCTTTTCGATACAATAAAGATGATACTGCAACCCTAACTTTCATCGAAAGCTGCTGAAAGTGGATCATCCATGCGTGTCCAACAACCGTATCAATGAAACTTGCTATCACTATAATAGATGCATATATTATAGCATCATCTTTAGATACTTCTGTCTCAGTGGGCAAATAGTAGCCCATTAATTTTCCTAAAGCTACTGGCCGGCTAATTCTAAAACAAATTGTTATTATTATATACGAAAATTCTTGATTTGTTTTACTTGATGATAAATTCTATAAAAAAATAAAGGCTCATTGATATTATAGTGTCCCATTTGAAAATTTTCCATATCGCTTTCCATAACGAAGGTTTAACACTTTGATCCAACTGCTCGTTCCACGCTTTTTCTAATTTACCTACTAATCTACTAGCATCATGACGTTTTAAAGTTTTATAGATATCTTCTTCTGTTAGTTCTTTTTTAAAACCAGTCTTAAACATTGGGATTGTCCAACTAGAAGTGTGCAGGTAATAATACAGATTTTAACCGTATTGCTAAGTTTACCAGAAAAATAGTTCAGAGAGGAAGTTAGAGTTTTCCTGAGGATGTGATTGTAGTTTGTACTTGTTAAACACACTTTTTCCTTCCATAATGCAAAATTATTATCACAGTCAAGTTCTAAAAGGAGAGGTTAATAATAATTTTTTGCAAAAGTTTATTTAGAGCTTATTCTAAAATAGAGATAATAACCACTGTGAATTTACACGTATTGTACCAAACAACGAATGTGCCGCAAGGTAGACAAGGATTTAAGAGAGCTTCACTGATGGGTACCATAACGCAATTGATGTAAGTAAAACCTTACTATAAATTTTACAGAAAAAAAAGTGTCAGTGCTGTATGTAACTGTCTAGGTAATGATAATTCAAATATGCAGGAATTATAAATATTTCACACGTTACTAGATGTATGAAACATTTATGATATATATAATTTGGATTAGTATTATATATCGCATTCACGTCAAATTAGCCTTCTGTTTCACATTTTGTTACTATATTTTTTGTTTGAATCGTTGTGTAATATTCAAATTTTTACCTAATTTTTTACACATACAAAATTTAAATAATTACCACTAATAATTAATAAAGTACCAAGTGCTTTTAATAAAGACACTGTTGTAAAACTGAATTACTGCTAGCGGTCACTATTCAAACAGGACACGATTCCAGCCAAACACAGCGACTAGACGTGCGGTTTCCATGACAACTGTGTAAACAAAACATGTAAGGTGTCCGCTTACATCTGTACATGTAAGTTTTGATACATTTGATACAAATGGAGCGAGATAATGACATTAGTTTTGATAATTAGAACACAAACTTCCGGATACTTTTTTAAATATTGAAAATTATTATTTTGCTATGTCTAGTATGTTTGTGGACGTTGTAATTTTGGCGGGAGCACGTGTTCTTGTGCCCCCCTGGCACCAGCCGCCCCTGGTATTTATACAACTGAGTTCAAATTAATTTTAACTTATTTAATGCAAGAAAACTGCATGGATGAATATTTTCAACTGCGGTGACTTAGTAACAGATGTCACTTGCTTTCATGTCTTTTCAGGAAAAAAAAGACTACTGAAGCTGAAATCATTGATTGGAGAAATAACCTATTTATTCACTGTCGCATGACACAATCTACGTGAACAAAGTAAAAATAAAAAACGTGCGAAACTTCCAGCTGCAATTATTTAGGTGTTTACAACACCAGGCGATTAAGTGCTCAAAAACGGATAATACATACCAAAATTAACTTTAAAGGCAAAGACAGTGATCAATTCGATTTCTCAGTCTGCTAACAATTTTTTTAATCACGTCTTTAGTTCACAGTATTTGACGAACAACTGATTTGTGAACCATACATTATATCTAAGCAAACCTCATTATTTCTAAATTGTCTAATACTGCCCAACGTTGTGAAATATTATGTAATATTGCCGCTCATTGGGAAATTAAAAATGTCCTTGATACCTGTCTTTTAACGGTAAATGAAAATTGTTAATCCAGCGGAAACATCTTTTTTTTATCTTATCAATGTGTGCACAATTCTATTATTGTTATTTATTCGATTTGCGCTTTCAACTCAAAAATCGGTCATTTGATCCAAGGCCAATTAATGCTAGTCCTGGAATGTCAATGTCTGGATCAATGAACGGTTGAGTTAGACGAGGATAATAAACAAATTGTAATTAAGTCTATCATAGAAAGTTATTTATTAAATACAAAATGTTACAGCATACTGCACAATGAAGTTTTTTTTTATATTATTTGTAAAATAAAATACAATGCTTCATTGGAAACCTGATTGGGGATGCTATATTACGAAGTATTGTCCTGTCAGTTCTATTAATGTTAAGTGAAAATTAACTGCTTAATGCAATACATATACCTTAAATTCTTAATTTGTTTTGTTATACATAGGTCCGTCAAGATGAATAAAGATTGTTTTGGTATTCGTAACGTAACTAACTAGTCATTTCAGTTTGATTTGGTTTGGTTTGAATCATTGGAATAAAGTCCTTTCATTTTGCTGACTCAACCGACCCTAGTAATTAGTTGATATAGATGCAGCATCTCAGGAATTTTTCTAATAGCCATTCCCAAAGAACTTGTAAAAAAAATGTTAATCTTTTGTATCTCTAAATAACTAACTAGATTTATATCTATCTTTTATCTTATCAAAGTGGTAGTACTATGTTTAAGTGATTTTTCTTATTAACTGATTTACGTAGTTCCGGGAAATAAATCACTGCTGATTTATTGCAACATTTCTGGAGACCGGAACTGTACACATGTTAGTGACTATCAAAACAACCGTCGGAATACAAAGTCGATCACTATAAAACGGTACCAAAAATCAGTCCTTTTTAGAACCACCATTTGTTTCTACAACTAATAATATTTCACAATAACCTTTAACAAGGAATGAATACATGAATGAACGAATGCTAACCAGCAAAAATTTTCAATTATACTGCTGTGTGAAATTTAAAAAATCACCGGATATTAGTGACATTTTGGGTAGTGACTGGCTTACATTTTTGTCGCCAACTCTTGCGCATTTTTTAATCAAACCGACTAGTAACAACTTCTATGTGATTTAATGTTAAGCTTTTTGTGAGTTTAAAAACTGTGCGAATCAGCACATGCGTATAACTAAACAGCGCGGTACGATATCAATCAATTAGTTGGCCAACTGTATTGGGTTCGTTCAAGTTATTATTGCTTGTTTTTCAGGTGCAATAAACACCTACATATAGGCGTCGAGCACCCATTGCACATCTCGGAAGTCTTGGGTGAAGATTGTCGTGTGTGCATATGTTCGACCTTGATTAGAGTTTGAACAAAGTTGTGGATACATGTGAATTAAAACTATCTTGCTGCTCTTTGATAATGTTTGGCATTTCCAATAAATGTTGCTCTATCCGACCACCCAGGAATTAACTTCAGCTAGGAAGTCATTATTATCGCAATCAGCAATCCTACCTTATTTTGTATATCCTGTAGTAATTAAATATATAATAATAATATAATATTGGAGAATGCTGGTCGGGTGTTTATGACTGATTTGAGTGTCAACTTCTCCACCTTTAACAGATTATAGAAAAATAAATATTTAAACCTCGATTCATTTAACAGAGGATTAAAATATAGAATATGAGCTCTTGATTAGTAAAAACATGAACGTTGCCTAGCAACGGACCTTAATTAAACCGGGCCTTAATCTAATTTAACTTACTTCGCATGCTGAGATGCAAGACCACAATACAAGTAATAAAGATAACCTATTATTATTTATTATTAATAATGTTATTATTAACTACATAGTCGTTTTGATTTGTCAACTTCTAAATTAAATATTTGTCTCAACATAAAAGAATTTTAAATAAATAAATAAATGATTAACCTGTGGAGATTAAGATTCTGCAGAAAACATTTAAATTTAATAAATAACAATGGAAATACATAAATATTTGGTCGGGCTTCTTACTGATAAAACACCACAACTGTATGATGTACTAACCAAATTTAATTATCCGTGATAATTTCCCCTTTTCTTATCAATCTAAAGCACTGACAAAATCTGAGGTTCAGGTATCTCTATTAGTAGTCTTATCACTATCAGTTATCACTCTATTAGACAATCATTATATACATACATGACAATTATGACATAACAAAAAAGTTTAATAATTTGATGGCTGATGAAGTTTTCTATAAAAAAAAAACGATATTTCTATTATCACGAAAATAACTCATAAATAAATAAAAACCACAAATTGGTAAATGCAGTATATACGTATATTAATGCTAATATTTATAACAGTGTTATTTGTTTTTTCCGAAACTTTTGAAAATTAGCAGCCCAGTATTTTTAATATTTGGTATGGCATTTAATGTGAATTAAAAAACAAATTAAATGTTTTCATTTTTAAAGCTGTCTCTCTACTCATTTATTATTATATGCAGCCTAATTTCTCTAGAAGCCATCATGTGCACAAAATCCACACATTTTTTCAGTTGTTCCTCAATCTGAGATTCTTTAAATTGTTGGTTTGTCAATCTTGTGTAAAAGCATGTTCATTTTTCAAAAAACGTAGCACAAACTTTGGTTAAAAGAGCATTACAATAAATTAAAAATAAAAACAATATTTTTAAATAATACTTTATATAACAAAAATATCATCAAAAAATACTGATTCAGTTTTAGGAACCCATAATAATTCATAGCACGAATTCGTCTTCTGAATGGTTATATTATTTCAGATAATTATAACTGCTATAATTCTGAAACAAGACATATTAATGCTGAAAAAAATCAATAAATTTAGTAGTATTACCTTCTCTGCTACTTCTATTAAACTGTCACCCATTTTTCGTCCAGTTTCCATGACTAAGTCATAGAAAGCTCCTTTCTTTTGCAACAGTATGTAAGGGTGGTCAAACTCTACAGCCCTGCCATTATCCATAACCAACACCTTATCTGAATCCATGATTGTATGTAACCTGTGTGCAATAGTCAAAACTGTGCAGTTCGCAAAATTAGTTCTTATAGTCTTCTGTAACAACTCGTCGGTATGAGGATCAACATTAGCGGTAGCCTCATCCAACATCAAAATTTTATTATTCCTCAGTAGGGCTCTCGCTAAGCAGATCAGTTGCTTTTGACCAACACTAAAGTTAGAACCACCTTCCGACAAATTACTGTAGAGACCTGCCGGTAAATCTATAATAAAGTCCTTTAATTTTACTTCTTCTAAAACATTCCAAATTTTTTCATCTCCATATTCATCAAATGGATCTAAATTTTTCCTTACGGAACCCGAAAACAGGATCGGTTCTTGTGGAATAATTGAAATTCCAGATCTCACGGAACTGAGGCTCACAGACTTAGTATCTACATCGTCTATGAAAATATTGCCTTCGAAGTCTACCAGACGGAACAAGACTGATATTAGCGAAGATTTTCCGGCCCCTGTTCTACCAACTATTCCCACTTTCTCGTTAGGCTTGATGACAACATTTAAATTTTTGAGAACATAGGGATCGTCTGGCGAATATTTCATGGAGACAGATCTAAATTCTATTTTGCCGTGCTGCAGCCATTCTAGTTTAGGTTTTGTGGTTTGGTTGTCACTTTCGCGTTTGACGTCAATGTATTCGATTACTCTTTCGACTGAAGTCATTTGGTTTTCTAGTTCACTCCATCGTCTCATTCCCCATTGGAACATTCCTGTTAAACTCATTCCTTGAGTTATGACAAAACCCACATTTCCACCATAAGTTTCTATGAAGGAAGAATTTTAGCTGGAATGAACAAAATTTACGTACTAACCTTTAGTCAATGCGATCACAGTTATCAGTAGGACATATATAACACAGACAGAATCCAGCCAAGTGGCAAAAGCTCGATTGCTCCCTAAATACATGTAAAACACTGAAGAATGTACGTTTTGATAATTGTCGAACTCTTTTTCCAAGAGTAGTTCAGCGTTGTAGGCTCTGATTGTCGTTAAACCCTTCATGGATTCAGTAAGGTGAGCAAAAATAGGACTGCGATCTGAAAAGATATCAGATCACTAAAAGATGTCGTCAAGGAGTATGGAACATCGTACTTGTAGACTCCATCCGTTTAATACTCCTACTTGTTGTAAGGAAAATCATTCTAATAAAATACATAATGATACTGATTGCTAATGTAGGAATTAGGGTCCAAGGACTTACGATACATATTGCTCCAACAGTACCGATTACAGACAAAGTTAACTAAAATATTTTGTTCAATAATTGAACATGTTGAAAAATTGTATTGCATATTTGCTACCTGAAGAACATCCATTAGTAAATCCGGAAGATCCTCATCTATGGCTCCTATGTCTTTAGAAAACCTATTCAATATTCTTCCAGAAGAATTGGTATAAAAGAATCTCATGGTCGCCTTCACAATGCTGGTAAACATTTTATCATGCAGATGAACAGATGCTACCATACACCCTCTAATAAAAGACATAGATCGAACAGTAGCAAATATTATCAACAAGCCAATTATGCCTGTATACAAATAAATGCAATTTTCTTTTGTGAAATATACGTCTTCAAAATAAAAATCTGATGAGTTAAGTGATATATTGTCACCTAATCGTCGTTGTTCTAAATTGACCCTTCAAAATAATCTATATTTGACACACAAAAATTCAGACGATTACGACTTACCAAAATGTGATGAAGTAGTCCGAGCCGGTGGCAAAGATTTCAGTTAAAACGAATAGTAATATCATTACGAGAAAAATACAATAGGAACCACTAGCGCGAATATAACTCATGTAAACCTCCTTTGATACTTTCCCAGATGTTCTATTTTCTTCTTCTTCATCTTGTTCCACTCCTTCTTTTGTATCTGTAGTTCCATTTGCAACTAACACCTCTTCGTGATCAAAATTTTCCGTATTGTTTAAAACTTTGGCAAAATCTTCACCGGATGCTTGTAACTCTTGATAATTACCCGAAACCGCAATTGCACCGTTCACAACCAAATACATTTTATCCACTGAACTTAAATACTGGATTTGATGCGTGACAAGAATGACACATTTGCCTTTTAAATAGTCCTTAATACAATGATTGAAGATATGTTTTCCAACGCTTGCATCAACTGCTGAGAGGGGGTCATCAAGTAAATAAATGTCAGCATCTCTGTACACAGCTCTAGCTAGATTGATTCTAGCTTTTTGACCACCGCTTAAAAGTATACCTCTCTCTCCAACAATTGTGTTGTCACCGTGAGGAAACTGACCTAGATCTTCTTCTAGTGCACACACTTTAATGACTTCCTTGTACTTGTGCTTATCCATGGGTGTACCAAAAAGTATATTTTGTTTAACTGTACCGGCAAACAACCATGGTTCTTGATTAGCGTATGATATTCGACCACCGGTTTGCACAAAGCCTTCGCTTATAGACAATTCGTTGAGACATAATTGTAAAAGACTAGATTTTCCACTACCAATTGGTCCTATAATAGCAACCACCTGATCACCTTCTACTTTCAAGTTTATATTATTTAGTGTATTTTGTGTGGAGTCTTTTGACCATTTAGCAGTTGCTTTCTGTATCGTTAAACCAATTTCGTTGCTTATAATAGTGTTAGCACCAACTTCTTCGAGGTTCAAGAAATTTTCGAATCTTTTTATAGCTACATTCGATTGTAGAATATCAGAAACGGCATCTGGAAGATACAGTGAAACAGAAATCATCAACATGTCGTAAAAGGAAGCCAAGACAAAGACATATTGAGCATTGGGACTACTTCCAGTTAAAACATAGGTGACAATGCAAAGGAAAATTGCTGTTCGATCAATGAAAAAAGAAAACGATGTGGTTAAAGCGTTCAGATAGTTTGCGATTTTAATTAAGTACATTTCTTTTCTGGAAGAATTAATTTAGGTTAGAGATTTAGTTATGGTAAATTTACCTTCTGATTGCATCTATAAGTTTAACAAAGGGTTGCTCCCAATTATAGACCTTGATTACTTGGATTCCTGAAATAATTTCGCTCATGTAACGAATTCTTTCATCTGTTTTTAAAGCGATTCGCAATCTATAAAAGGCCGCCTTTTTACTCAAGAGTACTGTAAATCAAAAAATGTATAAAAACTTTTCAATTTTAGTTAGATCCTTACATTGGAGGGGTGTAAGTGTCACAATAAAAACGAGACCTGCTAACGCTGTAGGTCCTGATATGTAATACAGTATATACAATATAAGTACCGCTTGAAGAGGAGAAGCCCACAGTGCGTTGAAAGCTCCAAAAAATAATACTAGTTGATGCATATCATTCGACAACAAATTAATGATATGTCCTACAGTGGTTTCATTTAAAGCCTTTTTGCTAAGTCTTAAAGCTTTCCGATACAACAAAGATGATACTGCAACCCTAACTTTCATCGAAAGCTGCTGAAACTGGATTATCCAAGCATGCCCAACAACGGCATCAATAAAACTTGCTATCACTATAATAGATGCATATATTATAGCATCAGTTTTTGATACTTCTGTCTCAGTGGGCGAATAGTAGCCCATTAATTTTCCTAAAGCTACTGGCCGGCTAATTCTAAAAAAAAATTGTTGTTATTATATACGAAAATCCTTGATTTGCTTTACTTTATGATAAATTCTATAAAAAAGTAAAGGCTCATTGATATTATAGTGTCCCATTTGAAAATTTTCCATATCGCTTTCCATAACGAAGGTTTAACACTTTGATCCAACTGCTCGTTCCAAGCTTTTTCTAATTTACCTACTAATCTACTAGCATCATGACGTTTTAAAGGTTTGTAGATATCTTCTTCTGTTAGTTCTTTTTTAAAACCAGTCTTAAACATTGGGATTGTCCAACTAGAAGTGTGCAAGTAATAATAGAGATTTTAACCGTATTGGTAAGTTTACCAGAAAAATAAGTCTGAGAGGAAGTTAGAATTTTCCTGAGGATGTGATTGTAGTTTGTACTTGTTAAAAACACTTTTTCCTTCCATAATGCAAAATTATTATCACAGCCAAGTTCTAAAAGGAGAGGTTAATAATTTTTTGCAAGAGTTTATTTAGAGATTATATTCTAACAACGAGATAAGAGCCACATGGAAATTTATACATATTGTATCAAACAACAAATGTGCCACAAGGTAGACAAGGATTTAAGAGAACTTCAGTGATATGTACTATAACGTAATTTTATAAAAAAAAATTGTCAGTGCCTTATATAATTGTATTGGTAATGAAAATTCAAATGTCACGATTATTCTGAGAGATGACGTATTAACCACATTAATTAAACTGTTTGAAATATATATTTACCTACCACTACCATTACTAAGAAGTGGCAAAAATATTTTATAAGTTAGTATATGCATGAAACATTTGTGAAACATACATGTTTGGCTACAATTATATATTTCATTCATGTCAAATTAACCCTGTGTTTCACATTTTCTTACTATATTTTTATATGAATTGCTATATAATATTCCACTTTTTACATAGGTAACTTTTAAGACATAATAAAAGTAAATAATTACCAACGATAATTATATAATTATATCCCTAAATCTTGAAAGCAAAGGTACCAAGCACTGTTGTTTTCTTTTAAGAAATATATTACATTTATTTATACAACTGTGTTAAAATTAATTTTAACTCATTTGATGCAAGAAATCTGCATGGAATATTTTCAACTGCGGTGACTTAGGAACAGATGTCACTAGCTTCCATGGCTTTTCAGGAAAAAAATGAATACTGAAACTGAAAGCATTGATTGGAGAAATAACCTATTTATTCATTGTCGCTTAACACAATCTACCCGAACAGAGTAAATAAAAATAAAAACCGTGCGAAACTTCCAGCTGCAATTGTTTAGGTGTTTACAAGACCAGGCGATTAAGTGCTCAAAAACGAATAATACATACCAAAATTAACTCTAAAGGTAAAGACAGTGATCAATTCGATTTCTGCTAACAATTTTTTTAATCACGTCTTTAGTTCACAGTATTTGACGAACAACTGATTTCTGAACCACACATTATATCTAAGCAAACCTCATTATTTCTAAATTGTATAATACTGCCCAACGTTGTGAAATATTATGTAATATTGCCGCTCATTGGCAATTTAAAAATGTCCTTGATAGCTGACTTTTAACGGTAAATGAAAATTGCTAATCCAGCGGAAACATCGTTTTTATCTTATCAAAGTGTGCACAACTTTACTTTTGTTATTTTATTCGAATTGCAGTTTGAACTCAAAAATCGGTCGATTGACACAAGGCCGATTAATGCTATTTCTGGAATGTCAATGTCTGGAGCAATGAACGGTTCAGTTGGTCGAGGACAATAAGTTAATTGTAATTAAGTCTATCATAGAAAGTTATTAAATAAGTATAAAATGTTAGACCATACTTCATAATGAAGTTTTTGTTTGTATTATTCGTAAAATAAAAAAAAAAAAGAATACTTTACTGGAAAACTGAGGTGGCTGTCAATTTTATTAATGTTAAGTGAAAATTACTGCTTAGTACAATATAAATTCTTAATTTGTTTTATTCTGTAATAAAAGGCAGACCTCTATCTGTTAAAATAAATATCAATATGATTAATAAAGATTGTTTGGCTATTCGCAAACTAACAACCTACTTATTAATATATACAGCATTTCGCCTGAAGTCAGAACTAATACAAGCTCGAGTTCGCGGACCGTTTGAAGTTGCAATCATTTCAATTTGGTTTTTTAAACAAAAATCAGTGCAGTGAAATCGTTGCAACTGACCCCACGAATTATACAGTTGGAATAGATGCTATATCTCACGTATTCTTCCAAAGTTCACAAAGAACCTGTAAAAAAATGTTAAACGTTATAGTATGTCTAAATAACTATACTAGATATAAGTAAGAATTCTTAGAATAATTTAAGAAGCTCAAAATATTTTATCTTATCAAACTGGTTCCAGTAGCGTTTAAGTGATTTTTCTTATTAACTGATTTAGATATAATTTCTGGAAAATAAGTCACTGCTGATTATTGCAACATTTCCGGAGAGCGGAATTGTACACTTCATGATGGTATCAGAAGGAAATGCCAAATGCATCAACTTATCTCAAATATCCAGCAGTCTTCGCTGCCTTAAATACATCAATTTTGATACTTACAGTATAATATCAAAAACAACATTACTGTGTTAACAAAACTGTCGGAAAACTAGACAGGCCGTTTTGAATAAATAAATAAAATTAATTGTTTCATTCGTTTCTTTAACACAACACTGTATGAATAGTTTACAAAAATATTTACATTATTAAACTACAAATAAGGAATATATCACGTTATAACTTTCAGATGAGATTGACTCAACAAAATTGCATGACGACGACATCAAATTTTTGGAACACGTTCACACAAAAATTTTAACTTTTAAATGAATATTCTTAAAACGTATCTAAAATTTTATAACTACTCGTATTAATCCAAAGGTTTCTCAAATTTATCCATCTAATAAAATCACTGTATTTTGTGTTCAGTTAGTAATGCCCACTGAAAATTTAGTTCAGTTTTATATCGCAACAATCAAGAATTTTTTTATTAATTATTTCTTTATTAAAGCAAAAATGTGACATTAAACAGATTAGTAAGAAAATGACAATCGCAAAATTGACAGTTAAAAGTTAAATTCGAAATTCGAAAAATCATTTTGAAACTTAACTTAAATTGCGCCTTTTCGAAAAATCAAAAACCGTGCGCGGTAGAAAAAAGTTTTTAAATAGAGAAGTTATGGTTTCATATAGAGGTTTGCCTTAATTTTGCTTTAGTTGTGAGTTTCTTTTTTTATAAAACTAATAAATAATAAAACACTATATCATTTGTGGTGACCGAATTTCAATCAAATTTTCGCGCTGAAATTAATTAACAGCGGCGCGAAGTCACATTTGAATAATTTGTATTTGAAAGAAAAAGAAATGCAATAAAAAATAGTTAAACATAGGCAACCAAATATGCATGTAGCGCTTGGGGTTAGTTCTGTACGTTTAGTTAGAGCTCGACTGAGGGCAGCATGTTGAAAGCGTCAGTCTGGGGATGTTTTTGCGAATGTAAACACGTGGTAAGTAGCTAGGTTTAAATTAGCTGGTTTGGTAATTAATAAAAAGGAGAAAGCGTTTGTTTAACGACAATCAATCGTAACGCCAAAGGCCCCAGTTTTCCCGAACCCGCGCGGCTAATTCTTGCGGGTTTTTAATCGGAAAAGTGTTAATTTTCGTGACCAATGCGGACCACAGATTTCATGAAATTCACTTAGTCAGGATAACACCTTTGTTGTTTAATCATAAATAAGTTTCTGGATGCATATACGTAAGTGTTACATTATAAGACTTCTTAATTCTTCACACAAGATTGCTAATAGTTCATTTACGGCAATTAAATTAACGAAATTTATACCGCGAACTGACGGGGGGTTAAAATAATTTCTTCCCTTAGGCGGTTATCATCGTTATTATCATTGTTATCATGATTACATCACCGGGGCATGTCCTCACAACGCTAAAGTTTGATTACTTCAACGAGGCATGTCCTCGCAACGCTAAAGATTGATTACATTACTGAGGCATGTCCTCACAACGTTAAAGATTGATTACATCATTGCAACATATCCTCGCAACGTTAAAATTTACATCATCAAAGTATTTCCTCGCAACGCTAAAATTTACATCATCGAGACGCTTTTTCCTCGCAACGATGGCTGTATATTTTTGTGTTTATTTATTATATGTTCTGTTAGGGTAACCAGTTCGCGCTACTTTAAACTCTCAAAGTAAATTGTTTTTAAGTAACCAATCACATGGATTATGACATAACTTTGAAAACTTTCACCCCATACAATATTTCTCTAATTTCACAATTTTAACTTCAGTAATTTTCTTTGTTGTATAATTTTAATTGAACGTAAATTTCATGCTCTACAGTTTTAACCCCACATAATATTTTTATTTGCACAAGTTTATTTCACACCAGATCTTTTGTTTTATAAATCTTTGCGAAGTTTTGTTTTGTAAATTTTGTTGATGAATGTTTCCATCGTATAAATTATTTGATGTCCAATTTTAATCTCACATAAGAATTATTTGTTGTTTAAAATTTCACAAGATTGTATGGCGAATTTAAATGTTGTTTATTGCCCTTTGAAACTTTGACACTTGTTAAGTTGTTATTAATATCAGAGTTAAAAGAAATTGAATATTTAAAAATGGAATTGAGGTTAAATAACACAGAAAACGTGGCAGAAGCGAAGTGCGGTTTCTAGTCGAGCTGACGAGATTTATCGCGTCACCTGCACAAAGACTATAGGTTTGGATAGATTTAGGGACGGTCGTGATGTCGGCTACTGTTCTTAGCCGACATCCAACGGCGGATCTGCGATCGTAACGGCCTAGTTTCGGACGGCATGTTCGTCATGGAGATGTGCTGTGTGGGTAGGCTTGCGATAGATAGAATCACCGTCGTGGAGGGAGAACAGCCCCGACCGGTAGCCCCAAACTTCGTTTGTCCTAGAACGCCCTATGGGTGTTTTTTTGACTGCCGCAATTTTAAATCTGCCGCCACACACGTAATAACTTGTGTATTTGCATTCAGTTATTTTAATTCAAATTTTGCTTTGTTTTTATTAAATTTGTGATATTCAAATATTTGCATTGATTCAAAACATTAGCGTAGGGTTTTTGAAGCTGTTTGGTCTTCATATGTGTATGTCTGTCAATTCGCGAGTGTTTTTTCTATCATATCTTTAAGGTGTTTCATTTGCAATGTATAATATTTTGTCTATTATTTCTTGCGCTCTCGACTCATACGCAGCGTATGCTCACTTGTATGAAAGAACGTCTTCCCGCCATTTAAAAACAAAAAAAACCACAACGTGGGTTTCCATTTGTTAGACGATCACAGCCAAGGCCAAGTTTTGAATTTTTTGCGGGCCTTTCAAACTTTTTCAAGGTCAATTAAAGGCAGGAAGTTTGGATTATCACACATTCGTTAAAGAAAATCTTGACAATCTTTTGTAAGATAACCGCAATGGAGAGAAAGAAAATATAGAAAAAATGGAATACGGACAGAAATAAAATATGAAAAAGAAGTAGGCGAAAAAATTCGATTTGAAAAAATAGGACAAAATAAAACAAGGAACAAACAAAGGAACAAAGAAAAAAATTGGTACAATCAAAAACAAAAGGAGAGGAGGACAATACGAAGAACCTACATAGGCAGAAATAATGAATGTGAAGAAATCAACAACACACAATTTAAACATTAACACAAATTTAAGGAATCAACGTTTATTACTGTCTTCAAAATATAGGTAACCATAAATTTTGAAACATAAACCATTTGTACAAAATAATATTAAAATTAATGATACAATTACAATTTTCTTCTCATGTAATGTGTCGGGAGTCTTCCATTCACATCCGGAACATCTGATGCTGCTCCAAACCCAATTAGCACACCTAATGTATCTACAAACCGATTCTCGGAGGCATAATGTATCGGCAACCAGCCGTCAATATCAGGAATATCTAATATCGCCCCGTTTTCAACCAGTAATTTCACCATATGTGTATTTCCCTTTTTACAGGCTAAATGCAAGGGTAACTGTACTTTTTTATCCGGAACGTTAACAGTTGCTAAGTTCTCTATCAACAGTTTTAAAGTATCTATGTTTACATTGTCGCACGCACAATGAATAGGCATCCGACCATTCCTATCAGGGATATTAAGCCTAGCTCGGTTTTCCATCAACAGTATTAGAATGTCACGACTGCACCATCGATTCTCACACGCGTAGTGGATAGGCAATCGATCATTTTCATCGCAATAATTCACTGCCGCACCTTTCGCTAGCAGTAATTTAACCACACTTGTGTCCCAATTTTCGCAGGCGTAGTGTAGAGGCGTTTTTTTGCTTGCATCTGGAATATTTACTTGCGCGTTTTTCGCTATCAGTATTTTAACTTTGTCTACGTGTCCGTTTTTGGACGCATAATGGATCGGCAACCAACCACTAGCATCCGGAACATCTAATTTTACATTATGCGCTAGCAATAGTCTGAGTACATTCGAACCCAAATTTTCACACGAATAGTGTATGGGTAGACGACCACGTGTATCGGGAACGTCCAGTTTGACTTTTTTTTCAATTAAAAATGCTACGAGATCATCCCCATACATGTAATTTTGACAGGCATAATGTATTGGTAGTTTACCATTAGCGTCAGGGTCTTCCAGGTTCGCACCATTTGACAGTAACAATTGGACTGCATCCACACTGGAGTTTTCACATGCAATATGCATAGGCAACACACCATTTGCATCAGGAAAATTCACAAGCACACCACGTGTTACTAGCAATTTTATGGTGTCGAAATCATCAGTCAAACATGCATAATGCAGCGGTAGCCTATCGGTAATAAGTTTTGTTTCACTCACTTGGATTTCTCCCATATTGAAATAAAAAAAAATGCTAACAATTTCTTGTGTGGTTCACTTCTAACTGAAACATTGAGGTTAAGCTTTTTCCTGTATAAGTGTATCTTCGTCTTCAAGAACTAACAACAGTCTTACACTTTTTAACATATAGATTTTTATTTAATGTTGACTTTATGTAACTCAGTATCTGAACTTCACTGCTTATATCTTTTCTGCAGATGCAGTTCTCCAGAACTGTAATAATAAATAAAACAAGCATTTAAAGAAATACGATGTGACCAAAGAATTAAACACTTACCCACTCTTTTGACCTAAAAATTTTAAAGTGAACTAGAAAATTGGTTTCAAATTGAAATATTATGGCATCAATGCAGAAACTGTTACGCTTTTGATACTAAAAAATCGATATTTGTGTTTTATCTTATCATTTGCTTATTGTTGTGTGCAAAATATCTAAGTGGTTATTCACTTCATTTCATAGTTGTGAAAGTAAGCGCAATTAACAAAATGAAAATTAAAAACAAGTTTATTGTGTTTAATGAAAAAATATATAAGGAATCAATCGTTTTGCAATTAAATTAAATTAAATCAAACAGCGTGTTTTTGTAACTGGATTATACTAATATAGTTATTTTTGTAAAAAATGCTGAAAAAGTATAATTACATAGAGTACGGCTACTAATACGAATATATGCAATATTTTCCATAAATGTTTATTAATACGCTTCAAAACATGGTACTCAAACGACGAAGTTGAACACTTAACAAGAAAATCGGACAGTTGTAGGAAAAGTAAATTACCAATTTCGTTTTGATGAAATCAATGCATCTTTTTTTGTTTGAAGCACACTGACCACTATTTTTTTTGTAGTTAGTTAACAATAACACGTTAAATCTGCCTTGGCCTTTCACTCCACAGTCCCGATATTTACGATAAAAGTGTACGACGAACATAGGTTTAAAAGAACACAGCCAGCAAACGCGTAGTGATATTATCGTTGCATACAACACAACCCATGAAACAAATTTAATATTTCCGTCACTGCTGGTTTATTGATTAAGTAGATACAACCAACAAAACATCAAAGGAACCTAGCATTTATTACGAGTAGTAAATTTTTATTTAGGACAGGTAGTAAGCTTATCCAATTTTTCTTCAATCTCGACGTACGAGGATCACAGCTTACTGTAAACAAAAATTTTGTGGATCCTATGGAATTTCAATTGCTACTTGATACAACCCCTGTAACTTTTTTATTTTTAAAGATAAACATAGTTCTTTGAGCAAATTTGTATCATTTTAAAAGATCACTTTTGTGGATAAATGACATAAGTGTCAATTTTTCAAGCTACTACATTGTCATCAACTCATCAATAAATATGAATTTTTCGTATATTTTATTGAATAACTTTTCAAGTATTAACTTTAGAATATTGGTTGCTTTTGATTTTTAGAAAAAATCAATCTTTCCATTTATAAAAAAATATACCTAGTGTTCCATAAAAAAAAAATCAAGTTGACGTTATTTCCGGTTATACCGGAAGTGATAATAAAAATGTGAGGTTGCCATCACGTAGATGTTTTAAAATAATACATACTTACGTGTTGTGGTGACCAAATTTGAATTAAAATTTCGCGCTGAAAAAAAAAACAACGGCGCGAAATCGCATTTGAATAATTTGAATTTGACAAAAAATGTAATCAAGAAAATCGTTAAACAACCATGTGCAAGTTTAGTTGTTTTCTTGGTAGCTGATAGCTCTTCTAGGAGAATTTGTGGGTACTATCTGGTGACAGGGTTGGTAGTGAAGTTCAGTTGTTTACTAGAGGGGTGAGGTGCGTACTGTTGTTTGGTGTGAGTGAAAGTCCACGGTAAGGTAGCTAGATTAAGTTTAGTTGGTTTAGTAGTTAATAAAAAGGAGGAGCCTTTGTTTAACGAAATTAATCATAACCCATTGCGACGCCATAGTTTCCCTAACCAGCGTAACTAATTCTTGCTGTTTCTCTAATCTGAAATGTGCGAATTTTCGACCGACGCTAACACGTGGTGTAAATTTGATTTATTGTTAGTAAATTCACAGTTCATGTTAAGATTTGAGTCGTTATTGGTTCTAACACAATTTAACAGTCATAAGATTGTTCCGATAAAGCACTTGCTAGGAGATTTTATGAAATTCACTTCGTCAGGATTCACTCATTCTTTGTTTATCAAGTTATAAATAACGTTTACTGATAGTTCATTTACGGCAGTTAAATTATCCTAACGTTGTTCCATCTCGGGGAAAAGGGGCTGTGGAAAGTGCGGTAAAATTTATAATATCTTGAAATGAGGGATGGGGGTAGTAATTTTTTTTCTCCATAGGCATTTATTATCTGGACGTCATCGCGACGTATTTCTCGGGACGTGGGAAATTACACCATCGAGACGTATTTTCTCGCGACGAGGGATGCATTTTGTATTTATTTATCATGTGTTTGTTTGGGATAAGGTGGGGACAGTCCACGATATAAACTTTCAAAGCTATTTTTTGTAAGTAACCAGTCACTTTGATCAAGGCATAATTTAACATCATGTAAATTCTTTGGTTGAATCGTTGATAAATATAGCAAATATTAGCCTCGTAATTTTCTTAGATTTGCAATTTTTCACCTCATGAACTTTTTTTCTATGTCACAATTTTAGCCTAAGTATTTTTTTTGCTGTATAATTTAAATTGAACGTAAATTTTCATACTCTGCAGTAATTTTGCAAGTTTTACTTCACACCAGATCTTTTTTTGTTTTTATAAATCTTTGCTAGTAATTTATACCAAAATAAATATTTTGTTGATTAACGCTTCCATCATATAAATTGTCTGATGTCTAGTTTTAATCTCAGATAAGAATTCTTTGCTGTTTGAAATTTCATGAGAGTGTATGGAGAATTTAGATATTATTATTGCTCTTTTTGAAACTTTAACACTTGTTCGGTTGTAGGTAGTTTAAGATCAGTCATAGGAATTGAACATCTAAATGGAATTGAGGTAAATAAGTAAATAAGTTTGTATCCGTAACGGCCTGTTAGATAGAGGAGTGCTGGGGGCATGTGCTTGCCAATAGAATAGAATCACCGTCGTGGGTAGGAGAATAGCCACAACCAGGAGCCCCAAACTCCACTCGTGCTACAACGCCCCTTATGGGTAATTTTGCTGTGCTCTCGAATGAAATTAATATAGTTCGATCGCTACACTTTGATAGCGACCCGGGACCCTCTTCAACTTTTGGAATCATAAGCATTCACGAGGAGGTGCTCTGGTGCCGCTGTCGCTGCATAGAGTGTTTTATTAAAATTTTGTTCTCTTGTTGACTGCCATAATTTTAAATTTGCCGCCACACGTCCGTAATAACTTGTGTATTTGCATCCAGTTTTTTGTAGCTGAGAACTAAGAGGTCTTCAACGGGCACAACTTAGTCGCAGCTTTTTTTTTTATCCTCCATATATTTTGTGTTTTATTTAGCCGTACTTTTCCAACCTTGGGGTCTACCACTTTGCATCTCAACGCATTTCGCCACAAAAAAAAACAAACACAAAGTAGGGTTCCATTTTTTTTGACGATCACAGCCAAGGCCAATTTTTTTAATTTTTCGCGGGCTTTTAAAATTTTGTTCACATATCAATTTATCGCGGGATGTTTGGGTAATCACAGTGTAACGCACATGTATAATGGCAGATAAGAATCTTGAATATTACCAAAATATATATGTACCCACCATAAAACCGTCTAGTACAATTAAGACATGTTTACATACAAATTCAAGATAAGTACGTTTTAATTAAAACAAAACAACTCATTCAAGTCGTCAAATTAAAACAAATATATATAGCTGTTACAATCAAAATTAACATCGAACTAGGAAATTTCTTAAGACCAACGCAGAGCACTTAGTAAATTGCAATATTTTAATATTTTCAGTTTTTAAAAAGTTTATGAGTAAACTATTAGTTTCTTCATAAACAATGTCATCCTGCAATCGTTCTCAATACTCCAAAGCTAAATTAAATTCAACAACGTGATCAGCCAGCAGTGTTTGAGTTGGCAATAGAATCAATCAATTCTAAGAAAATTTTCTTGATCGGGATTGTCAAACCTGATTCAATTGCCTGGCATCATGTCTCTTTCAAGACCTCAAGAAAGTTAGGCTATGCTTTATGAAATTTTAATAAGAATAAGCATCAATGACAAATTTTGACGTAAATTAAATAGGACTGTCAACATGACAGTTTTGATAACGGAAAGTAAGATGGAGTAACAGATCTATCAATTTCAAGCAAAATTCATTGATACCAACTGGAACAGTACTTGTTGATCACACTGTATATTAACATTGCAATAACCCAAACTTCCCGCCTTTAAATTGACCTTGAAAAAGTTTGAAAAGTCCGAGAAAAATTCAAAAATTTGGCTCCTTCTGTGGTCGTCTAACAAATGGGAACCTACGTTGTGTGTTTTTTTTTTTCTGAAAAGTGGCGGGAAGACGTTCTTTCATACAAGTGCATACACTGCGTGTAAGTCGAGAGCGCAAGAAATAATAGACAATAATAGGGGCCGAAATGGCACTCGTCCTTAGGAGGAAAAGAAACGAAGAACGAAAGTGACTCAGCGTGCCCTTCTGGTGGTCCCGCAGGGCCAAGGCGTCATCGGTCTTCATTTCCAAAAACCCCCTAGGGCTATATTCACAGATATATTACATTTCAAACACCTTAAGATATATGAAAGAAAAACACTCCCGAATTGACAGACATACACATATGAAACACGAACAAACGCAAAATTCTATACATTTGTTTGGAATCAATGCAAATATTTGAATATCACAAATTTAATAAAAACAAAGCAACATCTGAATTAAGTAACTAGATGCAAATACACAAGTTATTACGGGCGTGTGGCAGCAGATTTTAAGGTTACGGCAGTTAACAGGAGCACAACAAACGTACCCCAGGGGCATGATAGCACAAGTGGAATTTGGGGCTACCGGTCTGGAGCTGTTCTCCCCCCGCGACGGTGATTCTATCTATCGCAAAGCCTACCCGCACGCACTCCCATTACGATCATGCTGTGCGAAACTAGGCCATTACGGTCACCAGACCCACAGTTAGATCTCGACTATTGGTCCAAGTCGAGAGCACTACAACATCGGCGGCCGCCCGTGAATCTATCCAAACCTGTGGACTCGTACAGGTGACACGATAAATTTCGCCAGCCCGACTAGGAACCGCACTTCGCTTCTGCCACGTTTTTTTTTTTTTATTAAACTCAATTCCATTATTAAATGTTCAATTTCTGATATTAACAACAACTGAACAATGATAAAGTTTCAAAGAGCAATAAACAACATTTAAATTCGCCATACAACTTTGTGAAATTTTAAACAACGAATAATTCTGATGTGAGATTAAAATTAGACATCAAATAATTTATATGATAGAAACATTCATCAACAACGTATTTACAAAACAAACTTAGCAAGGATTTATGAAACAAAAGATCTGACGTGAAATGAACTTGTACAAATAGAAATATTATGTTAGGTTAAAACTGTAGAGCATGATATTTACGTTCAATTAAAATTATACAACAAAGGAAAATTACTGAGGTTAAAATTGTGAGATTAAAGAAATATTGTATGAGGTGAAAATTTGCAAAGTTAACAAACTTTACATGAGATTAATAATTGCCACACTTTATCAACGATCCAAACAAAGAGTTTACATTAAGTCAAATTATATCATGGTCTAAGTGGTTGGTTACTTAAAAAAAAAACAATTTACTTTGAGAGTTTAAAATACCGCGAACTGGTTACCCCAACAAAACACATAATAAACAAATACAAAAATATCCAATCATCGCTCCGAGGGAAAAAGCGTCTCAGTGATGTAAATTTTAAATCGTTGCGAGGAAAAAGCGTTTCGGTGATGTAAATTTTAAATCGTTGCGAGGAAAAGCATCTCGGTGATGTAAATTTTAAATCGTTGCGAGGAAAAAGCGTCTCGGTGATGTAAATTTTAAATCGTTGCGAGGAAAAAGCGTCTCGGTGATGTTATTAATCTCTAGCGTCGCGAGGACGAACCTCGATGAAGTAATCAATCTGTAGCGTTGTGAGGGCAGGCCTTGATGCATTAATCAAGATAACGACGATAATAACGATGATAACCACCGGGAAGAAATTATTATAACCCCGTTCCGCCAGTTCGCGGTATAATGAACTTGTTTAACTGGCGTAAATGAACTATTAGCAATCTTCTGTGAAGAATTAAGAAGTGTTATAATGTAACCCTTACGCATATGCATCTAGAAGCTTATTCGTAATTAAACAAGGAGTTTTCCTGACTAAGTGAATTTCATGAAATCGTCTAGCACGTGGTCTATTTAAATAATCCTGATTGTTAAATTGTGTTTGCACTAGCTGACGATTAAGAAAAACTAACTTGATTGGTGAATTTACAAACAATGAAACTAATTTACAGCACGTGTTTCACGTTGACCGGAAGTCGGCAATTTTCGATTAAAAGGCCGCAAGAATTAACCGCGCGGATTTGGGACACCTGAGTGACGTCAGTTACGATTGATTGTCGTTAAACAAAGGCTTCCTTCCATTTTATTAACTACCAAAACCACTAATTTAAACCTAGCTCTTACTACGTGCTTACACTCACAGAAGCACATTCAGACTGATGCTCTGCCATGCAGATTCTGTCTCTACCAACCCTCTAACTAAAATCCCCTAGCGCTTAATTGTCCGACTACCAAGCAAGCGTTTCCGTGCACCAGGTTGCCTATGTTTAACGATTTTTTTTGATAATTTTTTTTTTCAAATTCAAATTATTCAAGTGTGATTTCGCGCCGCTGTTAATTAATTTCATTGTAGATATATTTATTTTGTTATTTTATTGGTTGTGGACAAATTAATGAAGAACCAGCAAATTTATCCGGATTAACTGATCCGGAGCTCGCGGAGTTTGCCAATATTTACTGTTATATAGGAACGGGATTGATGATTGTGAAAGTTTAGATATGTTTTAACAACTTCGTATAGATAATAAAACACAAAACAAGTTTATCTAATTATTTCCAGCAAAAATCTGATGACTTAGTTTCAAAATTGTCCTACGTACATTGCATTTAAAATGTGAAAATGATATGCTTCTAGTGCTACGACAGCTTTTGGGAAAGAATTCAATCTCTACAACAAAGTTTACAATTTCTCTAACGCTATTCAGAAATTGTCTTGTCATCCCTTCTAAAAAATTAATGACGTCATTTAAATATTTTATTTGCTTAAAATTTGCAATTTGTTTAAAATTTTTAAAAACTGTTTATAGAGAGATATTGGTGTCCTAATGTACGTATCAAAGTTGATATACATATATAATTGTTGTGAAAGTTTTTCTTTTGGAATCGTTTTATTCTCCATTCTTCTTTCTGTCATAATATGTCAATGTGTATCGACTGTTATTTTAATTATCCCCTAAAGATGCTCATTGAACGAAACTAGTTGGGAAACTTTATTTTATTTTATTTGGTAAAATCATTGAAAATAAAGTGGTTCCAAAACAAGAACTTTTCCAACGTGTTGTGATATTATTGTTCCCACTATCAAACTGAATAAAAACACTTCGCTTGCAATATACAAGAAAGATGCTGTTTTACTTGTAGCTTAATAATTCACCATTATTTTATTTTAGTAGTAGGTAAGAATCCTCATAAAAAATGTGTTTAATCGATTGTTCTTTATGAGCTAGGGTAGTTTTAGTCAAATAATTTTAGATGGTCAGTTATTTTGACATAACCTCTATAGATAGGGCCATTGTTAGTGCAACCAATTACAGAGGTCAAACAAAGCTCAAGAAAGCCAATCAACTGCTTTTTTTATTGTTTCCAAGTTACTCATCTATAATATTAATTACCACTGGTAACAACAAATAATTACTATGACGTGTACTAATACCTTGAAAAAACTCATTATGTAGATGAAACAATTTCATTTTAAATATCGTAAATTAATAAAACATAATACTTGACTACGAGCGATAACGGGTGCCAGACAATGTTTAATACGCATGCAAGTAAGTGGTGAATATATGTCAAATGTCTAGTTTTGTTAGAAGTTGTGTCGTATGTATAAATAATGGGAGAAGTTGAATTATTGCGGAAAGGTAAGAATCAAAATGTCGGGTTTAAAACAAACTCACTAATGAATACCTGCGTCGTATTGTGTTTTTAATTTATTCTAATTGCTGGTATTTTATTGGCAGCAAATTATACAGTCGTGGTCTGGAGAAGTTTTAACTAGGTTTTAACACAATTTTAGGCTTTAATTAATGTTTTGTTTGACAAATCAAATCAATGCAAATTGCTACTATGCGCGATCATACAATTTTGGAAATTTAATAAGACAATGTAATACTTTTGATCTATAAAACGTTCCATTTGTATACAATAAAATTTTACAATGTGATTACGATGGGTTGGCTAAGCAGTTCACCCACTGAGTGTCCCACCCGCTTGACATGCGTCGCTATTGTTCAACCAGAAGAAGGGTAGCTAAGAACCGCTCGGATTACTGGTATTCTACTTGCCCTGTTTTAAAATTGCACTTTATGGTGGGTATGAACCGCTGTGAAATTAACTGGCTTAAATCAACATAAAATTTTATTGTATACAAAAGGAACCTTGTCACTGTACTACGTATTATCCGAAATCTTGCAATCGCATTACGACCTTGTCATATACAGACCGACTCATCAGGATGCTTTATTTTCAGAATTTTTCACGTGCCGAAAAATTTTATGTTTCATGGTAATCACATGTTTTATGGTTCATTATATGATACGAGTCAACATGTCAATAGCAATTGTTGAAATGGTTGCAACAAACAATTCCAACTTCTCTGCTCACGGTCCGACATATCAATGGAACGAACACCAAAGAAATGATATTCTGGGTTGTTTTTTCTGGGGATTTCTACTATCAGCTATTCCTGGAGGCCGCCTGTCAGAAATATATGGCACTAAAATTATTTTAGGCACTGCCATGTTGATATCCAGCGTACTGACCATTGTAACTCCTCTTGCTTGTCATCTTCACTACTATTGCGTCGTAGCGGTCAGAGTTGTCTTGGGACTGGCCCTCGGAGTCTCTTGGCCGTCTATTCCTCCGCTGGCACTAAATTGGGTAGCTCCAGCAGACACTTCCAAATTTATGGCTCATACTATAGCTTGTGCCTTGGGAGCCGGATTGACTTTGCCAGTGTCCGGATACATTATAGCTCTTCTGATGTGGCCTAGTGTTTTCTACATTACAGGCGCAATATCTCTAGTGTGGACAGCTTTCTGGTTTTATTTGGTGTATGATTCTCCAGAAAAACATCCGAGGATTAGTAGCGAAGAGAAAGCAACCGTAACAAGAGAAACAGTTGGTCTTAGACACTCCAAAGGCGAAAAAGAAACTCCCTGGATAAAAATTCTTCTTTCAGGACCTGTGTGGGCAATCGTGGTTGCGGATTTTTGCCTCCAGTTTAACACAAACATTATTTTAAACGAATTGCCGTCATATATGGATCGCGTTCTCCATTTTAACATAAAAAAGAACGGACTTCTTTCAAGTTTGCCGTATTTTGGTAAGTATATTCATTAAGTGTCACTTTTTTCTATAGATCTAATTTTTAGCGACGTATTTGATGGCTGTTGTGTTTTGCTACATAGCTGACAGGTGGAGAAAATCTAATAAATTTTCTATAGTTACTATACGTAAATTATTTACATCTATTTCGTTTTGCATTCCTGCAGTGCTATTTTTAATTCAAATATACTGGGGATACGACGAAGTTGTCTCCGTTATAGTCTTCACGTTATCGCAAGGTTTTCTAGCAGCCTCAACTGCTGGGTTTATTTCGAACAGTATGGATATTTCTCCAGTTTATTCTGGTACTATATTTGGACTGGCTTTTACTTGTGGTGCTTCGACGGGTTATTTTTCTTCGAAATTAGTTGCTGTTGTAACTAGTGAAGAAGTCAGCTTCCAGCAGTGGCGATATATTTTCTGGATATTGATTGCACTAGATGTTGTTGGTTGTCTATTTTATTACATTTTTGGTTCAGGAGATATACAAAAATGGAATTCGGTAGAGCAAAATGAGACGGAAACAAGAGAACTCAATAGAAAATAACGCGTCAATCCTGTGTATTTATATTAAATATTTTATAGTTGAAAATAACTTTTTTAACTCAAATAAAACGAACTTTCTTTTGCAATATAATCTTATTTCTTATATGTAGTACTTACTAGAGTCTCTGGTCTAGATCTAGCTCGTCTATGTAATTAATGCTGTTACATACTACTATAAAGCCACTCAATTATGAAACTGTATCATTACAACAAGAAAAGTAAAAGCCGTTCCGAATATATTTAACAGTGTCATTTTACCAACTTCGAAGAAGTTGGCCGCAGAAAATTTGGGTAAATTCACGAAAACAAGATTCGTAAATTCGTACAATTCTTGACTTTGTTTTAAGGTTGCGTTTCCAAAATACCATCTCAATTCATACGTAAGAGGGATAAGTTTCTCTGCTTCTTGCAAAACGGAGTCGCACATTAGAATCAAAATAACGGTTAATGTCTGAAAAAAATCAAAATAATACTGTAAAATATAGACAAGTTTGTTCTTACAATATTTAACAGCAGTACCCAAGCAGTGGACATAATTTTATGAAAAAAGGGCATCTCTTCTTCAAAATAAATAGCAAACTGTATGTAGTCTAGAAGTTCGACTGTTGTCAAAGAAATAATCAAGGCAATAGGCCACCCGAACATGTCGTTAAATATATCTAAGCTTTTCCTGAGTTTACAGATTTTAAATTCCAGTTCTCGCAAAGTATTCAAAGACAGTTCTTCAGAAATTGTTTCGTTTTTAAATTGACATTTATTTTTTACATATGTCGTTAAGCTGAAATTTAACTTCTCGTATTTGTCTAAAAATATTTTGATAATGCTGCAGAGTAAAAGTTTATAGAAAATCTCTAAATATCTCTGTAGATGTGTTATAGCTTGTTGTTTCAGATATTGTAGTTTTTGGTATCTGTACCAAACATAAATACTATAAATCGTAAAGACGATATATATTAAGTGACACACGATAAAACCATATAAATATAAGGGTGTTCTTTTTGTTTGACCCTCTTTTTGGGTCACTATGTACGTGTCATATTTAAAACTTTTGAATAAAGTAAACCATTTTTTCCTTCCACAAAAATTTAGAACCAGTATGGTATAAAAATGAAACGCGTATAAGAGTAGATCGTGTAAGTAAGAAACCATTTTCGGTAAAAGGTTACTTTGAGTATAGGCGCTTTTATTATTTAGTACGAAAATGCAACCTGCAGTTACTAGAGTAAATATAAACAAAATGTAAATTTTTCTTACAGTAGTATTAGTTTCAGCTTGGAATGAAGGTGGTGTTATTGAGAAATATTTACCAATAGAGAGCATTAACTTTAGTAAATTTAGGGTCATTTTATAACTGTGCTCTTGTTACAAGTCTAGGTACGTACTAGTGTGTCTTGTAAACACCCGTTTAAAGTTATTGAGTTTATTTTATTATTGTAAAAGCATATTTTCTAGGAAGTCCATTGCATGACATCGTTTGAGGTAATTAGGAAGACAGCTTTTTGGTAATCAATAATTTTTTATTAATATAGCAAAACAATTTTCCTAAAAGTATTGTTTCGAGCTAAGTTTATTGCAGACTAATTAGGGTTTGGTTCTTTCACCACAAAATAAAAATTGGAGAAAATATGAAATGATCAGTGACGTACTAAGGATTTACGTTTTTTATTTGACTAATTTCATAAATGTTCCATTTATTAACCCACTATTGGACACTTTGGAGTATGTTTGTGTCTAGATAATGTTTACAACTCTGTAAATTAATTAAACTATAAAATATACGAGTGGCGTCGAGAAGCATGAACCAATAATACATTTCAAAGTTTTTTCTCATTCTCATATTTAAATCTTATAAAATCTTGTGTTTCAATAATAGTGATTTGTTAAACCGCACGGACTATGGAAACAATCAAAATAATACCCACAAAAAATTTGAGGATATGTCTCAGAAAACACGAAACCAAGTGCTCTGAAATCTTGCAAATTCATTAAAGTTATTGTAAACATCAAATAATTTCCTACTGAATATCACAAGAGCATAGAAAATAATCGAAATAATTGATTTATTTTCTAATGCTCGAGTGGTATACATTACGATTATATAATGAATGTCAACTTAATTTACTTATTTCTTTATTATTTATAAAAATTGAATGTACAATTATTACAATGCACATTGTTTGCATTCAAAGATTCCTGCTAGTGCAAAGAAGAAGTAGATGATTCTGATTTATGCTTTTAGCATGACGTTGATAAGTCAGATTTGAACGAATTTCGCGTGTCATAGCCCGTTACTTCAATTATTTCTCATAAATTTGCATCAGAACTCACTAATACACGCACTGCCTAAGATCGGTTAGAGTGGTTCGTAATTCTTGCCTTTTTAGTGTCTACTCCAACATTTTCTACACCTAAATGCGTCTACTTAGTAATTTGGTTTAAACCAAAGGGACAGTTCTTGTATCAAATATTTGTTTCTTTCAGTTTTTATTTGGCGTCAAGAATAGGAGATTCGTCTTCACATTCGAAGTTCGTTTCGCCATCATTTTCTCAAACAACCTCACCGGACATAAATCTCAAGTTTCTTTGTTTGGTGTCAGCCACTTGCTTACATCCAAATTTTTCTCACCTCCTTGGGTTGTTTTTCCAAAAATAGTGTATATATAATACCATTTATGAAGAATAAGAATAACATCGGGCCAAGATTAGATCCTTGTGGGACACCCGAAATTGGACAAGTTACAACTAAAAAACTTTATTAGATTAATATGAAATCGAAATGAGGATAATTTTCTCAGGATGATGTTATGATCTTTTTTATCGAATACCTTCTCGAAGTCTGTGTATAGCACATCAACTTGGCATCACATCAAGAGTTTCCACCACATACTGCACAAAACATGAGAGGTTTGTAGCCGTCGAACGGCGCTGCATAAAACCATGTTGAAACAAAAGAAATATTTTGGGATATGGCTCGGCGGATATAAGAGTCCAATAGAATTTCAAAGACTTTTGGAACATTACTGAGAATAGATATTGGTCTATGCTTGGAGATGGAAGATGGTTCGCCGGATTTGAGAATTTGACAGGTACGAGCAATTTTTCATACGTCGGGAAATGTGAAAGAAGATAGTGCAAGATTGAATAGGAAAGTTAATGGTTTGATGAGTTGAGATGCACAATTTTTTAATAAAAAACTAGGAATTTGATCGATACCGGATGTTAAATTATTTTTCAATTTACGAATAACTTTTTTAATACTATTTTCAGTAATATGAAATATATTAACATTTGTAAAGGTAATATTGCTGTTTGCAAGGATTTCTGCGTCATTTTTTGGTGCAAAAACACCACTAAAGAAATTAGCAAAATCGTTTATAATAGTTTCTTGCGTTTTATAAACATTGTCACCATCAAACATTACACCTGGAATTCAAGTTTTATTTTTCTTGTCTTGGACAAAAGTTTCCTCATCAAGATCAACACATATTAAATGAAAATTTGCATTACATATGGTACAAGCCATGTAACCTTCATAACGTGTGATTGAGCGACTGTACTTTTCACACTTAATTGCCATAATATGAAAAGTCCATAAAGAAAAGTTGACAACAATCGGCCGAGTACTTTCGGAGATTATCTGTCTAATAAAAATCCCGGACGGCAGACAGACGAACAGACAAATGGACGGACAGACGGACAGACAGACCGACAGACATACCGACAGACAGACGGACAGACGACGGACAGACGATGGACAGACGGACGGACAGACGGACGGACAGACAGACGGACAGACAGACGGACAGACAGACGGACGTAAACGTGAGACCTATTTTTTAGTTCTCTAGGGGTCATGAAAGGTCGAGAAAATGTAAACGTAGAGAGTCTGCCGATGGACTCGATGACAATACTTCCTTTGCTTACGCTCGGGAAGTAAAACAATGGCCAAAGGTTACTTAGACAGAACTTCCCTCGTTCTTGAAGTACAAGAATATTTGTTTTCTGATAACCTTTATACAGGGTCGCTAGAATGTGTGTAAATGGTTATTAAATCTCTTGAGAACCAGTTGTACAAATCAACTGAGATTAGGTATAGGGGTACAAGAAGTTGTGCTCTAATTATTATTCGTGATACAAAGACGTAAAATAAAGTGGCGACAGCTCTGCAGGCACCACGACTCTGCAAGTACGATTGATACATTTTTGTTGTGCAGTTTTTCGAAATTAGTGTTATTGTTAAGTACGTGATACATTGTGTACAGCACATCTGGTTTTTTTTGAGGACCCAACTAGACAAACAAAGTCAACCCCTGCGCCACGGGAACGCAAATTTCATTTATTATTTTATTATTATTAAATATCGCCGGGCGCATTCTCTAGTTTCAAGAAAATAGGGAGACTCATTTTTAATTTGATGAATAAACAATTCTGTAATGCCGTGATTACCATAGATAATACTAGTAACAGGCCATTACCAATGCAAGACAAAAAATACAAAAGTGGCCATTCGTCCGATGGACTCAAATACTATATTTCCTTAGCCAACGCTCGGGAAGTAAAAGTTGTTTTGATTTGAATGAGTTTGTCCCCTCAAAACAGGGGACTAAAATTATTGACAGTCACAATCGAAGAGGTTGTTCTGAATATTATTATAATTTTTATTTAATAAATACGGGCGTATTCTTACCTTTTCGAAAAAGTGCGGGAGAAAAAATGAAATGAAAAAACGGAGAGCCAAGTTTGGAATTGAACGAGAGGTGTCCGGTCCGTATTTTTCAAGCTCAACCACCAGGCCACGACCGGACCGCTAATGGTAAACTACTATTATACCGTGCATTAGGAGTATCTTGTACCATCTACATGATACTTCTAGTTATATGTACAAAATTTGACAACAATCGGTCCAGCAGTTTCGGAGATTACGTGTCTAATAAAAATGGATATAGACAGACAGACAGGCAGACAGACAGACAAACAGATAGACGGAAACAGGAGACTACTTTTTTCGTACTGTAAGGGTCATGAAACGTCGAGAAAATATAAAAGTGGCCATTCGTCCGATGGACTCGATTATTATACTTTCGCTTACGC